TTGACTTAGACCCTAAATCGCTAAACCCTAAACACTGAGTCATCAAGCAGGCACCTCCGGGATCTCACGGGTTTAGGGCTTGGGTTTCGATTTAGCGAGGGAATTGTAGGGTTGAGGGAAACCTACGAGACAGCTGCTGTAGCTACGCATTGTGACGGTAGGCACCTTTCTGATCCACTGATTCGTAAGATGCACATCCCATAAACCTGAAAAGTCGCGCAGCCGAACGGCCACCATGGTGGTAGGAGCGCAGATAACCACAAGCGACTAGTGTTATTGCTATTACGATTAGTGTCAATTATTATGATTATGATGATTATTATTATTAAATTGTTCATGTCATCTTATTTCGATTATAACAAGAATCATGACTACGATTTTTGGTATTAGTATCTACTATTGCTGCAACATCGCCAGAAAGCTCTGATCTCCGGTGGCATGAGCCCCATTTTTTCTCATCTGGTCTTCGTCTTGCCAGCGCCAGAGGCTACGACCTCCATCTCTGATCCTCGGGCTTCCAAGATGGATTAAGGGGTTTTATGGTGTTTAGAGTTTCTAGGTTTAGGGTTTAGGGTGCAGGGTTTAGGGGCTTGGGGGTTTAAGGTGTTTCGGGTTCTTAACGTTTAGGGCAGCTGCAGGGACTGGAGGAATCAAAGACTTCCACTATCCAAGACATGGTGGGAGCCCCACGCCACTTCTCCAGGAGTGGGTCTTCACCTTCCGAAACACGGCAGGTTAAACCCTAAACCCTAAACCCTAACCCGAAACCCTAAACCCTAAACCCTAAGCGACTCAATCGTGAAGAGCCGGCTAGCGAAGATGCGTGGCTTTAAACAGTTGCTTATTTACATCGGGCCCTTTCTGTCAGCGCGGGCTTTAGGGTTTAGGGTTTCCGCGCTATGCGTTGAATCAAATCGACTCTGCAATGACATCCGAGGTCATGCCCACCCAATCCTACGTCTACTACGTCTCCTCATGTCAATGCCAAGATTAATTTGCAAGTCTCGTTCACACTTGTTGGCCCATCAAGTGCTTTGTGGCTTCGGATGTGTGTGGCTCTACCGTTTAAGGAAGAAGGCGCAGTTGCTGCAGGCCTCGAACGCGACAAAGTTGCAGGCTTTAGCGGGATATCTGCGGATTACATTAAAAGAAGCAAACCCAGCCAGAATACCAAGCAGTGTGCCTACTTGCAGGGCTCAGGACTAAATCTTAGGGTCAGTGATAAGGGACCGGAAGCATTGCAGAATTCTGAAGCTGAGCTTGGGCACCCACGTTTGCAACGACGAACAACCCATGGACAGGTGCATGGTGTGCTTTCGCTTTCCGCCAACATCCGCGAACGATAGTACGATGCCCGGCATTAACATTCGTCTAACAACCGCAAAACATCACCGACACACCTATCCGAAAACCGGAATGCGAAAACCATGAACCCTACAACAAAATCATCCAAGAGCAGCATAGTCTCCACTGTACACCCTATTATAAACCCTATCCCCTCTAAGCCAAACACTACAATCCGGAACTCAAAAGCATGTAAATCCTAAACCTTGAGCCCCGAAGTCCGAAGTCCTACAGCTCATGCGGGGCCTGTGAAGGAGAGGTCTTTGGCAGCTGCACTTTGCGATGCCCCGCCTGCTCGGTTTGTCTGCGAGGTCCATTCAGGAGTATATAATATACTTTGGGGCTGGGCTTGGGTACTTTGGGTGTTTTTGGTGGCTTGGGGGGGGGGGGGGGTNNCATTTGAGTTCGGGTTTTCGGGGGTTTAGGGTCGTGGACGTCCCAACGTTCCTGAACTCTCAGATCTTCTGCTCCGCTTTTTTTTCCCAGGCCTCCCAACGAGCCCCGAACCCTGAACCCCAAAGTAGCCCTAAACTAAACCCTATGAAGCCTAAAGCCCTGAAAGCCCTTATAAGCCCTTATAAGCCCTATAAAAACCCTATAAACCCTATAACCAGCCCTAATTATTCAACACCCCCCGAGGCTTAAAGCCCTGAAAGCCCTGAAAGCCCTAAAAGCCCTTATAAACCCTAGAATAAGCACCATTCAACACCCCAAAGCTTGAAGTTAAAGCCAAGCTCTAAGCCCTATAAGAGCCCTTATAAGCCCTATAATAAGCCCTAATTATTCAACGCCCCAAGGCTTAAAGCCCTAAAAGCCCTACGTTTTGTTCCAGGTGGGCCTGGTTCTCGGGGCGGGCGGTTGTCGAAGCAGCAGCGCTTCGCTTTTTTGCCTGTGGACAGGGATCATAGGTTGCTTTTTAAAAAACATAGGTTTTATAGGTATTGAAAAAAAACCTATGAACTTGTGGGGTTGACCTTCGGTTGAGCTAGCAGCCACAAAACGTCGAATTCGGGAATGTTTGGGACTTGGGGTGAAGACATTCTCAGTATGTGCCGTGGTAATGTAAGTGGAAGAGCCTCTGAGCAGCCTACATGGCGGGGCGTGCCCTAATTGTTGTGGACAGCTTGGCAGCCTTTGAAGGTCATACTGCATATGAGATCGCTGTAGGGTGTCCTACACACCGTTGAAGCCCATCTTCTCCCGTCCCTGCCAGCAGTTTTGCAAAGGACACTCGAATGCTTATGCGTATTTAAGGCTCAAGACCTAAAACTGCGGGTGATGTAGCGTACCATCTCTGGCACTGCTTTCAACTAGCCTGACTCACATTATTATTGTGGAACACACACACACAGAGACACACACACACACACGCCTACACCTATATCGTTCCGTAGCATGTATTGCGGAATTTACTCTCACAGAAGATGGCAGCTTCAAACGACATGATGATGCAGCCGAAAGGCCACACGAGAGCTTCTGTGGCCTTTATCTGCACCATCATCGTCATCATCATCATGCGTACTACTCGAAGAGCACCGTCCCTTCTCTTAGTTTAAGCTTAAACTGACTTGTCGTCAGCCTTCCAGCAGCAAGTTCTGCAGCTAAACTCAAACCGAACCCACCATGACCAACCTTTGACACAACAAGTGCCTGTGCTTGTCACAACACAGACCTGACTCACAACATCTGTCGGCCAAGCCTGAGCCACAAGGGCAGGGCCTTGCAGAGGCGGAGTAGGATATCATTAGGTTCCAGCATTCACGACCTACTATACCAGGATATCCTTGATAGGGCCCTCGCAGCAGGAATCTTATGATGTTGACGCAGTGAAACAGAAGGAGCAGGGCTTTGCAAGGTTGGCAAACTAATGAGTAGTCAGTGTAGTGTAGACGAACTACCTGCAAAACCGCAACACAGTGGTCCACAGCCCTCACGCCCTGAGAAGGCAAACTCCTGAAAAGTGTCATTCATAGTTGTACCAGCATTCGCAAACAATGTCACCGCAGAAATACATACGTAAGAACGACATATGTATATATATATACACACACAGAGACATGGTGCTTGTTGTCGCTTCTGTTTCTCCCCTCTCTTCTTTCCTTGCTTCCTTCAGCAGGAAAGAGTCCGGCTCACCTTTCTCTCGGCCTCTCTCTGCAGACGTGCATTGTTCTTACGAGCTACTCTCGCTTGCATCCTTCCGGCAGCCCCACAAACCACAAACACCGCCACGTGCACACTTACACACACACACACAAAGCTGGTGAAGCACCCCTAATTACTTCGGAACCGTAGCCGAATCTAAGAAGTACCTGCACTGGCTGATATTCAAACGAATAGGAAGGCGGAAGGTGCACCCTGACGAACCCCACCATGCGAAAACATCCGCAGCCAAGTAAGGAGTGCTGTCATTGACGCAGCCTCTGGAGCAACATGAGGGAGTTTCTTAACTACATAGCAGCTGCGGGAGCATGCTGCATGAAGTTAATATAAGTATATAACTACCGATCATTCATGAAGGTAGGTAAACTCTGTCTTGGTCCTGAGAGCGCAGCCGATTTGCGTCCCTGCTCCGGATCAGAGGTTTCTCGTCCTCTTGCTGGACGGTTAAGGGTGTAGCGTTTAGGGTTTGGGGTTTAGGGCAGGGCTTCCAGGCTGTTGCGGGTCAGGCCAAGCGGGACAGTACTATTCTTGGTCGCAGTGATGATGAACGGCATAAGTGAAACTTTAGAGACGACGTACAGTAACAACGATGGCACAACTAAACAGCAAGACTAATAGCAGTGCCAACACACTGGCAGTTCTACATCAATGCAGAGTACTTCCAAAAAAAGTGGTAGCAGTGCTGCTGGTTACTAGTTGACAAGCTTCAGGAAGAAAAAAGGTGGACATTGCACAGGCAATCCTAAGCTGCCACGACTGGCAACAACAACAACACCACCACCAACAGCAACACCACCACCACCACCAACACCACCACCACCACCACCACCACCACCACCACCAACAACAACAACAACAATTACCACAAAAAACAACAGCAACGAAAACAACGGCGACAATAGCGGCAATAACAACGACCAGGGCAACAACTACAACAACATCCAACGAAACTGACTACAGGAGGAACGGTGGTACGCCTCAGCTAGGTTCAGTTAGGCCGATTTACATACATGCATACCAGGGTGAAACACACACTGTTACCTGTATTGGGTATAACCAACATGAACAAGACGTGAACAGCTGCTAAATGCTGCCCCAGCAAGCAACACTTTGATCTTCGATGAAATCCCTCCCTCTCACCCTATGGCAAAACCAGGCGAAAAAGAAACATCTTCCACAAAAACCGCTGCTCCTGAATGGCTTACATTGAGGCTCTTAGTTGATCATGAGATTGCAGAAGCCAGAGTTTTTGCTTGCAGTCTCGATTCAAGCGCCGCCGACATCAACAAACCGAAGCGACAAACTCCATACCAGCCGTGTAGGGTTGCTGCCTCACGGCACGTGAGTCTAAGAACGGCAGTCTGGAAGCATAAATACATCGACAGACAGGCATGAGAGAGCCCACTTCGGTCATTTAACCGGACCTAAGCAACCATCGCCTAGAATCCTACTTTGCATTCCACACCATTTACGAAATGTGTATTGGGGCAGTCGGCCTCGTCTTCATCTGCACCAGGAAGTTGGATGAGTCCTAATTAGATTGCAGGTCATTTCGACTGATTGCAACCCAAGGCTCTAGGCTTAAACGCCAGGATCTGAACACCAGGGCAAGCCCTAATGACAGAAAGCCTCCATGTCTGGCAAACTTTGTGCAGGAAGTCAAATTCGGCATGCTCGCAGGCTGAAGAGAAGCTTAACATGTCAGGCGCGGTGGGCAGGAGCTCTACACGAGTCTGCGCTATGCACCCGAGATTTCCAAAGCCTCCTCCTGGAACCTAACACTGCCTTCCCGAGATTCTTGTTTCTCACTGCCTCCATTCATCACACGAGGGCAGCACTTTGAAGACATGTTCCTTCATTGGTCTGGCAAAATTCCAGCTGGATGCTGCAACCCTGAATTTGCTGAAGCCCTCCGGTCCTCCGTCTTCTGACTGACCTCAACAGCGCTTTCTGCATCGGAACACCGGGCGGTTGACGAGGGCGACGGGATGAAGGCTTTAAATGGCCTATGCCGCAATTAGGGCTTCCCACTTTCTTCCGTGCAAGCGGCTAGTGGTTCGAGCTGAAGCGTGGGGCCGGGAATCGGACTCTCTCGAGATGCGATGCATCGCACCTGCCCTTGGCTGATGAAGGGGCAGAGGAGCAGGTGAAGATTAGTCTCAACAGAAGTCTCATTCAGTTCGTCACGAGTACACGCACCTAACCCGGAAATTCTGAGCCGAATCCACTCAAGCGGCAGGAACGCGCGGACCGATTACCGGGTGCCCGTGCCATAGCCCGCGAGGCTCTGGTTACCACCTCTTGGTTCGCTTTGCGAAGCTTGAGGGGTTCAAGGTCGATGGCACTTTTGCTGCCAAGATGGTACTCTGGGTATGTGAAGCTTACAGTTCACAGTGACACGATCTGGGTCCTAAGATGTGCTCTACTTAACATTGTACTTGACGGATTTCCCAGTTACGAGTAGATGCTACGGATTAAAGTCCTTGGGATGATTCGATGTTGTATTACAGTCGGACACCTTCCTTTCTGAAGGACGAACAACTTCAAGACTTGAAGACTTAACGAAACCTCCCTGTCGACCTACACATGATGCAACTAGGACTCCGGACGCACAAGAGTACTGCTGCAATCAGACCAGGAATCAAGACAGACGTGGGCAAAACTCTGACTGCTGGCAGCCGTATGCGCAGACAAGCCCAAACTCGAATGAAGGCGAGACCCACGACGAAAGGGGCAGGTAAGAGATAGGGATGTGAGGGACCCTATCTCTTCGTGCTCCATGGGACCAGTTACTGAGTGACCGGGGACCTCAGATCTTGAGCATTGTAAACGCCCGACACCCAACACCCAAACCCCGAACCCCTGAAACCTCTGCAGGTGGATACCGAGCTCTCGGCGCTGCTCGGCGTCTAGCTGCTCAGCACGGAGCTCTCCCAGCAGGTGCCGCTGCCTGAGGCTGAGCAGCTTTAATTTGCTTTTTAAAGGCTTTGCTTTGAGAGTTTGGGTTTAGGGCCTGTGGTGCTATTCTCACAGGCTCTAGTCACGGCATTCGAGTTGTGTTCTGTCACAGCCATATGCTTGTTGCACACATGCACGCGCTGTGCAGCCCTTCCCAAAGCCCAGAAAGGCAAACCTCGAGACTAGAGCCTGTGCCTGCGCTTCACAGGATTTCTGCTGCTTTTGGCAAACCCTGGGCCCTGTAGTACCCCGGTTACCTAGAAAGCGGGTTCCTGTCCCTTAAACACTATAGTACCCATAACCCAGTAACTTACCAAAACTGTGCTCCTAGGAGAGGTTCGGGCATATCGTTCCGGACAACACAAGCCATCTACGTAACGTTAACTTCTCGAGCTGTCCAACGTTTCCTGAGCCAAGTCTTATCCCTTGTCAGAATATGCGGTCATCTTACACCTTTCTGGACCAGAGATTTTGGCACTTGAGGCTTGTTTTCTGCTTTCGTCTTGCACACTTCAGCTCGGGTCTGGGGATTGCTGAACAACTTCTGCTTGGTCGTCTCCTGCCTTTCGGGTTCGGGGTTTGACGAAGTGCTTAACATTCCGCGAGTTTCCAAATTTCGTACATGCTGCACTGCCAAGGCTTCTCTACACTTCAACTCGCTGCGTGTGGATCCCACGAAAATGCCTCTCTCACTGTCGCACGTGGTTGAGAAAGTTCCAGGTCGCTTCCGGCAGAATGCGCTACACTTACGGCTTTGAGTTGCAATCCGGCAGAGTATTCAGTTGCTCCAGCTCGGGATGGAATCTTGGAGCCCTGAACCTCCAAGGCGAATGCCAAAATCCCAACCCTGCCCTAACATCCTGAACCCCAAACGCAATGCATGATTTGAATGATCTGATTTCTCAACATGGGTCGATGGAGCCATTACAAAGCCGTGATCAGAATAGTTGCTATCAGTGCTGCTTATTTTCACCGTCAAAGCATAATCACTGCTGCTCGCCGGTACGACTATGACCAAGCTTCCATGCCGTTCAGGACACCAACTTCCCAGACCCACCAAGCATCCCCGGGCTGAGACTCCGGGCCCCTTGTTGAACACTGAGTAGGCCTCGTGGGGGCAATAGCAGGCAAGGCTCCGGAGTGACCACGCTTGGAGTTGAGAACGATGCATTCCGGTAATGCCCGGATGCTCCGACAAAAAACCGGGCAAACTCGCAGGTGCTTGCAGCAAGTGCTTATCGCCTGGTAGCCTCTGGTGTAGATTCCGGTGTCGCAACGTCCAAATGGCATGATGCAAATTTCAAACACATTGCATGTGCTTGCCGATAACAAGCACATTACCGTACGCGTAAAAACCAATGCAGTCACCAGACTGCCAGAGTAAGCATTATTGAAGGCATGCCCCTAAACCCAGAACCAGGGACTGAAACTCGAAGTGTCGACGGAAACGGTGAACATGCAGGAGTCAAAGAGTGGGGCTTCATCTGAGGGTGGTGCCACCCTCCAGCTTTGTCAGCCCCAACACCGAAACTCTTAAATTTAAACCCAAGCCCTGAACCCTAAATCCCAGACTCTATCAACACTAAACACAAACCCTAAACCCTAAACTGCAAACCCCAAACCCTAAACCCCAATTCCTGAACCCGAGCCTCAACCCTAAACCCCTAAAACCTAAACCCTACGTAAACCGTGGCGAAGCCGTTGAACCCTTTGTAATTCTATAGGAACTCCTGTAAAGAATGAAAAAACAGGAAAATTTAGATTAAAAATACGAACTAGCGAATGCGTTCTTTTTACTTCTTATTTAATTGCAACGGAAAACCGAGGATGAACGTGATGCGATTCCAGGTGTTCTATTACTTACTATTAAAGGAGAAGTGAAAGAACAGAAGGAAAACAAATGAAAGGAAAGAAGTGGAATGAATGCGTGTTTCCTTCTCTTTCTTCACACTTCGATACATTATTTTCTTAGCCTGTAGAATTATAACCTAGATCTAGTTCATTATTTCCCTTTTTTAATACAAACGAGAAACGAAGTGCGTGATTAATTGAAATAAAGAGAAAATAAGGAACGAAAAAGAACCAAATTAACTAATTGAAAGGTCCCTCCATCCGATGCTCGAACTTCGCCGAAGCGCCGAGTATTGGCCGCTGCTGTCGCGAGCCAGACCGGGCCTTTTAGGGGGTTTAGGGGTTTAGCGTTTCGGGGCTTAGGGCTCTAGGGTTTAGGGGCCTGGCCTAGAGAGTTCTTATATGGGGTTCCTATAAGAGTTCCTGTATAAGGGATTCTTTATTAGGGTTTCCTGCAGGGGTTCCGGCGACTATTTTTAAGGAGAACTATCGGGGGTTCCTAGAAAGGCTTCTGGTCCATCGTAGGAAGGCCAACCTTGGGGCTCCAGTTACCTAAACAGTAATTCTGCTATGTTGCATTCCATGGTAGTAATAACTATATTAGACCATAACCCTATAATCTGTAACCCAGTAGCCAGTAACTCATGATTTCGGTAGCAGGAGCCCTATACAGGGCGGTTCACGGCAAACCGAACTCCGGGCGTTGAAGGTGAAACTCGGACCCGGGCCACAACCTTGAGATTCATCGGATAGTACTGAAAAAGGGGCTAAGGGGCCTTAATTGATGATTAGTTTAGGGGCCTTAATGACTAGTACAGGGGCCTTGATGATTAGAATAGGGGCCTTATTGATTAGAAGAGGGGGCCTTAATGATTAGAATAGGGCTTTAGGGGTATATTCTTACATAACAGCTTTGTAACAGGGATGTCTTTAAAACATGGTACTTATCGGGTCAATCATTTAGGCTTCTATATTCGATCCCTTGTCATCCCACCCACGGACACCGCCAATTTCGATACTCCCAAACTTGGGGAAGGGTTGTACCAGGGTTTACTAAACCCTCTAAACCCTAAACCTCTAAACCTACACCCTGTTTATACCTCAGAGACTTCAGTATTCCGCTCCAAAGGCCTCTGAAAGACTTTGGCACTCTAGCAAACCTCGGTATACTATAGGGCACTGTACAGCCTGCACCGTTGCTCTGGTATGCTGACTGGGATAACAGAATCGTAGCTCCCAGTAGATGGTGCTTCTGTGATGCTTGAACCTTCTACAAACCTTGTAGCGTGCATAATCCCCAGTAGCCTAGCACATGCCCTGTGTGTTGCTGGACCTCACCCTAGTATCTTTGGCATGTTTAGGCCGAGCATGCTGCCCGAAGATAAACACCATCACAGAGACGATGAAGTAAACCTTGGCTCAGGCTTTCGGGGTTAATAGAGGTACCTCAATGATTCGGTGTAAGCAGGGCTTTGAGGCATAATTACTCATGCCATGGAGATACGAGGGGCGCGATACACCAAACCATCCCATTGCATGATCGCCCACTTCTTTGCAAGCCCAGCAGCTCGATCGCAGCCCGTGCACGCAAAAGTCCATGACCACAGGGCCTTGGACATTCTGTCTGGCCGCAGCTCTGATCAGACAGATTCGTGAGATTCAGAAAACCAGGGGTCCCCCAGTGAGATCCTGAAACGCAGGATCCTTATTGAGCTTTTTTCAGATCCCTACAAGGGGGGACAGCTTGATTTTCGGGACGCCCCCCAAACCCAAAAGCTTTACGGAGGATTTACCGCCTTGGGCCGACCGAACGATGCCGACAGATCGGGGCCCTTGGTCTCAGTCACAAACACTTCGAGAGGGTCATGCGAGTCATACCATGTCTTCATTACGGCTTAGGGGACTGTATGACCGAAAACATTGACAATCAATAACCATCACAACAACATACAGCGCGATCCAGGGTCTCGGGCGAAAGCAGCGCCGTAGCGCGCAGCGGGCGGGAGCTCCAGGAATTTCGCCTGGCGCAGGGAAGGGTTTACTATGAGCAAGATTCCGAAGCATGCCCAAGCTAGCCGACAGGGTGTAGGTACATTGGTTGCGGTTGAAAGCAACGGAAAGCTGCAACTGTCGATTTCTGCAGATGCACAGTTTAGCAGATCGCGTGAACTTAAAGCAGCTAGTTCGCACCACACTTCGAACGAATAAACCGGAGTGAGTCCGCTGGGCAAGATGAATGATGGTTTCACACAACAGTGGCCTCTCAACGTTCAGAAGAGCTACCATCTCCATCCAAACTCACCAGACTGCAAAGTAGAGCATCAATCGCATCTTGGAATCATCGCCTAGTGACTTAGTGCTTACCAGTAGCCTTGCTGGTGGTTATATAGCTACTGTTAGAGATATGGTTCTGTGGCTGGCTGTTGGCACCAGGCACGATGCCAAGCGACAGCAAACATGCAGCAATCAGACTCTCCAAGGGTCATGCTTTTGCCGCCGCGAACGAAAATTGCTCCATGGCAGAAAGTTCGTCGTGAAAGCTGACGGAGGCTTGGTGTTGGGATGACGGCTGGCTGTGGAGCAAAACTATACCTGCAAAACATGAGGGCTCCAAGTACAGATGTGGCCGTATTCATGACATGAGCTGTTGGGCTTGAGCCCGAAGGTGTGTGACGGTGCAGTCTGTCAGATGCGAAGCTCTGAAGGCAAAGCGGTAGCTTCGGAGATGCATAAAGGCCCCCATAGTAGACCCTCACGAACGGCTGCACCCGATCCGGGGCTTCTTTGGCAGCTTTAGGGTTGGGGCGTAGGGCTCGTTTTGACTCGACCAGCTCGCGGCCTGCACCACAAGACTCTGCACTTGTGTCATTAGCGGGGTAGTAGACGGAGGGTGACTGGGCCGTGGCTTCAGGTGCTGTGAGACTTTCGGATCCTACGCAAAAGCCTGTCAGCCGAAAGCCCAGAGCTACCCCTCTTCCAAACGAATTTATGGAAACACAGCCGCAGTTCTTGCGGCATGATACAAATGTTCCAAAAGAGGGATCCCTCTTTTGGGAGACTGAAATGCGCCTACAGTTCCTGCAGAGGGATCCCCCTTTTAAGAACCTCCCATAGACCACAAGTTCCCGGCGAACATCAGAGCTTTTGGAGCCTCTGCTGGGAACTTGCGCCATCTGCATGTGCGAAACATGGAACCATGAGGACCTTTTAACTCTGAAAGAGCTGTAGAGGCTTTGCCGAAAACTATCATTGTGCGAGCTCATTGAAAGCTGCGTGTGTCAGGTGCGCTGCTGCAAGCTCCATCTTTGAGGCTTAAGGTCTAAGACAGTCTAAGACTTACTAGCATTACAGTTTGGACTATTTCCGTTGTCACAGTAGCTGCCACTATCCAAGGCCCTACATTAATGTACATTAATGGAGAGCTCCAGATGATCAAGCAGGCAGCTCTCACACACGACTTTGTGAGGACTACGGCCGGGAGGGTGACGGTGCCGCCAGTCCTTTTTAGGTTTGGCAGGGATCGCGGCATCTTCGTAGGTCGGCTTCGGGGAACGGGGTTTGGGGATCACGATTGCTACAAGGGTTTCTGTAAGGACACGAAACGCTGCTAGGCTTCTGTCGGTCAGAGGCCAAAGAAGCAGGCCGCAACAGTCGATGACATTGGTTCGCAAAGTTGGGAATCTTTGTCTTCATCTGCAGCCATGGACTCGATCCACCAGGTAGGGTCTTAAACCCTAGGCCTGAAACCTAAGAGCTCTAAACACCGAAGTCCACACCGATCCTCGAACATCAAAAGGCCCAAGCTCCAAACCCGGAGTCCTCCAGCCATCGCGCCAGGAGAGCTAGGCATCACGCCGGGAGGAAATCCCGCACCGGGAAAGGGTCCGGGCCTCAGTCGCTGTCCCTTCGAATTCCGAGAGATACCTCTGAAACTTTCGTTGTGAGCTACTTCGGCGACTTCGGCGTCCGCTTTCCGATTATCATTAGTTAAGGACTGCCCGGACCTCCAGAAGACTCCTTCGTTGCCTGCATTCCGGGTTTCTCATGCATGTGTAAACCATGTAAGGTTGGCCTGACTCCTTCATGGCATGCTGGGCTTGGTTGAGCATTTCAGCGCTCTGCAGGGGAACGTGTTCGGCGTTCAGGCGTAGTTAGGGCTTCGGCTTATATTGTTGGCTATGTTACGTTGACGGAGCATAAAAAACGCCGTGGAAGCCAGAACCAGAGGACCCTGCTGTGGTTCAGAGATCAAGCCTTGGGAAGTTTTGCTTCAGGCGCTGGTCGGGGAAAAATGGTTCACGTGTTCATACGAAAAGTCGCCCCCTTAAAAATCTTGAGAAATCTATGACAAACTCCTTCTGCCCAACACTACCGGACTGTACTTACACTCGTGAAGAACCCTGACGTGGAAACCGCAGCTGCTACCTCAGATTTTCAAAATACATCCTAGCCGAAACCTAGCCCTAAAGCCAGACCCTGACATCTGACATCCTCCAATCCAGGCTGTAAGCCCGGACAGTCCGGACGGTGCTATGCTGTGCCGGGCTTCGCGCGGGGCCATGCCCAGCTGATGCGTAGCATCGGGTCGAACGGGCGGACCAAAACCTGAATTTCGAGTGTTGATGGGGGGGTGCAGAGCAGTCTAGGACTCCTTAGGCTCGAGGTTGTTCAGCTTGCCAGGTGGGTACCATGTCGGAAACAAGCCTTTCGGCGATAAGCAATGGCTAAACGCTGGGAATAGTCGTGGAGGGCACAGGAGGGGGAGCCGGAGCACGAGCAGTAGCGCTAGCACTCACACAGGAACTAGCACTAGCACTAGCAGCAGCAGCAGCAGTAACAGTCGCGGTGGTCTGGTGGCAATTTATGGGTCAATTAATGGCAGGGGCAGTGGCAGGTGCTGCTGGTAATGGTAGTGGGAAACATAGTCGTATCGTAGTCGTCGCCGCCGCCGCCGTCGTACTAGCAGCAGCAGCAGCAGGAGTAGTAGTCGTCGTCGGCGGCGTCTTAGTAGTATTAGCAGTAGCAGTAGCAGTAGTAGTAGTAGTCGTCGTCGTCGTCCTCGTCGTCGTCGTCGTAGTCGTAATCGTAGCCGTAGTCGTAGTAGCAGTCTCATTAGTCGTTGATGTCGTCTTCGTCGTCGTCGCCCTGGTCGGCGTGGTAATAGCAGCAGTTCTCGTCGTCTGCGTCGTCGATGCCGTCGATGCCGTCGTCGTCGTAGTAGTAGTAGTAGTAGTAGTAGTAGGAGTAGGAGTAGGAGTAGTAGTAGTAGTAGTCGTCGTCGTCGTCGCCGTCGTAGCAGTAGTAGTGGTAGTAGCCGTCGTCGTCGTAGTGATAGTAGTGGCGGTGGCGGTGGTGGTGGTAGTGGTAGTGGTGGCGGTAGTGGTAGTAATAGCAGGAAGCAGAGACCATACTAGTACTGCAGTAATAGTCGTCATCGTTGTTGTGGTTGTTCTTCTTCTTGTTGTCGTTGCTGTAGCAACAACAATACTATTATCATTAAACCTATTATTAGCAGTCGAAAGCGTAGTAGGAGTAGGAGCAGCAGCAGCAGCAGCAGCATCAGCAGCAGCGGCGGCGGCAGCAGCAGCAGCAGCATCATCATTGGTGTGGGTTGCTCCTGCTGCTGCTGCTGCTGCTGGTGTTGTTGCTGTAGTTGTCGTTGTTGTTGCTGCTGCTGCTGTTGTTGTGGCTGTGATTGTGGTTGTGGTTTTTGCTGTTGTGGTCGTTGCTGTTGCTGTTGGTGGTGGTTGGTGTGGTGGCGGCAGTGGCGGTGGTGATGGTGTGATCACCGCAATTGTTGTTGTCGTCGTCATCTTTGTCGTTGGTTGCAGTTGTCGTGGTCGTTGTGCAGCTCGTAGCTGTATTGGCTCTCATGGCAATGCCGAGGCCGGCGCCCGGCATCTGGGGAGCTTGAAGCGTCGGCATCGGCAACTGCGCAAATGCTCATTCAAATTTAGTTGGGGCCTGCCTTAAAAACCCTGATCTTGAACCCTAAACCGCTTCCACAACAGCCTCGCATGCAAAGCCCTCGATCAGCACCCTAAGCTTTGACGTTTTCGTTCCCCTTGTTTGGGGTTCGAGCTTAAGCGCAGTAAGATCCGAAAACCTCAAGTAGGGAACCATTTGGAAAAGTCTGTCAGCTTGTAAGTTCAACCCACCACACCCACGTTTTAATCGCCTGCGATACCCAAACCCTAAACCTTAATTCAGAACCCCTGAAAACCCAAGTGAAATCAATCCGAGCCTTGGCCCTGCAGCCCTGTTCTACAAACTAAGCAGCCCTGCCAGTGCAGAGCGGCAAACCCTTACAATCAATCTAAAACCGTCTTTGCTAGTTGCAGTCGTATAACAATCGCAGGAACAAACAGACTTAGTGTGTTAATATATTTGTAACTGGCACCGAAAATACTGATGCTCAGTTCCATGAAAGCTACAACACAGTAATGGCCATAATAACAAGATAGGAACTTACAGTTAACAAGAATAACTATGAGCATGTAAGAAAAAGAAACCGAGCACTATACATACTAATAACAACAAAATTTTCTTAGTAACAAACAATAAGAAAAAGAGTGAGAGCAAACCACAACAGCAGCCCCGGCCTGCGGCACCTGCAGACCCCGGAAGTTCCATGGGTTGCCCTCCAGGCCGGGGACCTTGGGGTGTCAGGGGAGTTGAGGGAGTGGGATCGGACTGTTTGACATTTGTGTTTTTTAGGGGTTTTTAGGGGGTTCAGGGCTAGGGTTTACTTAGGGGATCTTAGGGGGTTTAGGGTCTCTTGGGATTCAGTGTTGTTGGGTTTAGGGTTGTTGTGCTTCTCCAGCTGGCCAGTTGACCAGGAGTGTAGCGCCTGGCCTGCTGTGCGAACGAATACGAAAGGTTTACGGTTCATATGTAAACTCTCGGGGGTATGTCCGGATCGAACAAGCTAAAGTGAGTGATTCGAGACAAGATCGAGACGCGTGTGCCAAAGAAGCTGTATATGCTCTACTTTCCCAACATTCCTACTTCGGCTTGCCTG